CCACAAAATACTCCCATCTGCGCTCCCATTGTCATCTATGGTCAGTATTATTTTATGGCTCACCTCACGATTCCTCCTTTCGCTACATCTTCTTCCTCTTGTATTACTTTCAGGCTACCACACTTCTGCTATTTGTCATGGCTTGACGAGGCTGATGCCGCTAATTTGATGATACAAAATAGCAACAGAGGTACACCTTGATCCATCATTCATCCACTCCATTTCAGGTAGCAGTCATGTAGTCATCAAACGCGAGCGGATTTTTTTCACCGCGTGCATACATGATACATCAATTCATCTTCACACACCTCTGTTCATGTCCTTGCCACTGCCGCTGCGTGCTCCCCGCCTATTGACACGACCCTGAGAGACATGAGGGTGTCGGCGATGGCGCTGACCATAAACTTCCGCAGGGACGGACGAACAGAGCATCGAGGTAGAGGAGCACGCTGAGGCGATGGGCCAGAAGTTACCTCTGCCCGACGTGAGGTTCTGTCGGCAATCGCTCGTTCTCCCTAGAGCCGAGCACGGTGCTTCACTGCAGCAAGTTGACCATGACGCGGATGATTCCTTAAGTGGAGATGTTCTTGAGCACGCCGACCGACATCTGCATTGCCGCCGTCGCCATCCCGGACGACAACTTCCCCCGGAGGTCTGACACTGGAAAGGGTTTTGCACCGCCCCCTCTTCAATCTACAGCCCTTCTCTGTACGGTGAATCCTACTTTGTCTTCTCTCCCGTAATTCTTATCGTGGAAACATCTCCACTTTAAAATCAGGTCGGAGAAGGCAAGCAGCGTCCTCCACCCTGAATTCTACTTTGCTTCGCCCTTAAATCTCTCTCTCAATTAATTCCTTCCATGAAAACACCTTAAGAAACTTCCTCCCATGAAAAGATCTCTCTCCCTAAATTCCTCCCACAAAAATCTCTCTCCTCTCTCTCATGTACACCGTAGAATGGGCGAGATAAAATAACAGAATCAAATTTGGTAGGTGGCGAGGGGATTGAGTCCCGGTTTTGTTGGGGGAGATTTTTTTCTGACCGCTGACCGTGCGAGGTGAAAAAACGGAAGGAGAGGGGATTGAGTCCCGATTTTGTGGGGGGAGATTTTTTTCTGACCGCTGACCGTGCGACGTGAAAAAACGGAAGGAGGAACTGCATCGTGGAGAGAAGGACCAAAACTTGACGTAAGAGGGGAGACGGAACCTTACAGGTCCTCTGAAAACTTTTGCCAGAGCATGCAGCCAAACCAGGGCTATCCGGGCATCAGCTTCCTCCACACTGTCGGAAACTGGTAACTCAGAGTATGTCGACAGATACACTTAGCCTCTAATGACTATTCCGAAGGGACGTTGCATGTTCCTAGATTCATAGATTTTCATTACACTGAGATTTTTTTTAGGGATAACAATGAGATTTAAGATATTATTTTTTTCTGTAGAATTCTCAAATTGAAATCCGAATAAACCACCTTCAAAGGCCAACATAGTGGCACTTAAAATAAATGCTAATCTGCACTGACGCTGCAATCTGGTGCCCAATCTTCTGGTGATTTGGTCAAAGCTACAACCAAGGAAAGAAATTTTACATGCTATAAGAACTAAGTTATGAATTTTGTGTTCCCAGGTCTATAATATGCATCCTTTGCCGGTTCCCTGCAAGCGCTTTCGACCATGACCTCAAGTTCTGCAGCTAGGCCGTGAATGTTTTGATCCTTCTCACCCTACATCGATGATGGCCCGACAGAAATCAGGGAAGGAGAGAAGGATGTTGTTGTCATGGTCGTCGGAACGACTTGCCGTGGACGCAGTCATGCACTGGATGACTTCGACGGCTAGCCATGGACGAGCATCTCGCCGCCTTCGCAAAATATGGATGCAAGGGATTCTGCTACTAACATTTCAGAGTGTGTTGTGTTGCGGTGCTGTGACATATACACCTTCAGCGTGCGTATAATGTTGTCAGATACTACTTTAGATAAATAACCACTGTATTCTATTGTATGTGTAATTGAAATGTTCATATGTGTTTAACCATCTGGCAAAGAGGCTCACTGGATGTTTCTTACAATATTCTATCTGTAATAGACATCTACGCATGTATTTAACCATCTGGCAAAGAGGCTCATTGGATGTTTCAACATTTACCTTTCTGGAACACCATTTCTTTTCTTCTGAACCAAGAGGTTCCAAGCCAATATGTTGCCAAACCGTTCACTGTGTGGGCAAACTTTTACTTTGGAAGGAGGCTCTGACTATTGCCACTCCTTCCCATCACTTGCAATCAATTCCTTGCAATCAATTTCTCCCCTGGCTGGATCGTGCCGAACTCTGCATGTAAAACATTTCCCGTCTAATATATTTTGCACAAAGCTCACATACACAGTTCTAAAAAACATGATCTTGATGTATCTGAAGTTCTATTAATTTATGCAGGAGAACAATATGTGATTTCTGAATGTTTGCCCGCACACAACCAAGTTCTCTAGATGAGTGTGTGCAGAACTCTACAATCTGAAGAATTAGCTCCTGCAAAATAGATCATCCACGTGGTTGTTGTGAATGTTTGTGGCACAATCCAAAATTCATAATGCACCAAAGTTATTGTGGTGATGATCTGATCTAAAGCTTTTAAATAATGGATTGTACAAATCAGCATTCGAATTTGTACTCAAGGTCATGATTCAACCCGAGAGATGCATCGTGTATACTTGCCTAAGATTGACGGATGGGATTGACAGCTGAGATTTTTGTGTTATAGTAGGATCTTTTAACTATCCGTCTGTCACAGTCCTCGCCTTGCGTGTGCATGGTTTCCGACGTCTCACCTAAGATCCCGCATCGAAAAAAAGTAGAAATGAAAATCGGGGAAACCGGCCCACCCACGCAAACGAGCCAATGAAAAAGTCCTGACAACCAACAAAAAACTCCCGGGCCCACATGCCCACACAACGGTAGAAAAGGAAAAACATGTCACCCCAATCCGATCGTTCCATGACCATTGCTTCCATAGCGCTCCAAGCGTTTCAGGCCGAGCCTGCCATCGCTCCTCCGTTCCTGCCTTGGGAGGATCTCTGTTTACGGTGCCCTCAAGCGCGCCAAGGCCGGCGAGGAGGCACCAGCAAAAGAGGATCATGCACGTGCCCGAGACTACAGTGGGAATCTTGGATAACAAAAAGAAAATCAAAGATCTGATTCATGGGGAAAATTATATGCTAAAGACTTCTCTTATGTCAATAAGCCAAAACATGGAATAAACTTTGTTCTCTCTTGTTGTAACACACGGGCATATTTGCTATCTATATCTATATTTATATCTATACCTACTAATAAAGTATTGATTGCTTCTGCCCGTTCATTGTCAGCATTTTTATAGAAAAGACCATGCAGTTCTGGATAATTACCCCACAATATTGTTTTAAGTTAAAAACCTTTCGTCTTGCATACCGGTTCGTTTTTTTTTCTTCTCTCCCGACTTTTTAACACGAGCTGTGTGGCATTAGGCACGAGACGAGCGGCCGGCGGCGGCTGTAGGGCGTGCATGCGAGGTGCCGGAACACGCGGACAGATTGGGCCCGACGCGAAGCGTGGCGGCAGAACACGTGTCATGGAGAGGTCGCGCAGAGGCAGGTGACGCTGAGCTCGTCGGAGAGAGCCTTGGGGCAGGAACAGCCAGCACGCTGGAGACGGTTGAGGCATGTGTGGATGGGCCGGCGTCGGGTGCACGCTCGCATAGGAGCATGGAGGTAAGATGGGCGACATGAAGGTGGTCGTCGGTGTGCGAAGTCGCTTTGCCATGGCGAAGCAGAGGTTGTTGAGGACGTCCGCAACAGCGGGCGTGCTTGCTCGCTTTAGGCACCCCGGCGGTAGGGAGGCAGAGCCGCAGGAGCCAGTGAGGTCAACGGAAAGGACGAGGAAGAAATGAGAAGAGGTGGGGAAGGGAACTAGCAGAGGCGCTGGAGCGGGGCAAGTAGGCTCAGGGACCGCGCTAGGTTGGGATCGATGGAAAGACCGCGTGTGGTTGTGAGCATGTCCATCATAACGAAAATGTTTGTCAATAGTTTAAAATGTTAATGAATTAAAAAAATATTCTTGATTTTAAAAAATGTTCAAAAATTTGTAGAAGTGTTTACAAATTAAAAAAATGTTCGCAAGTTTAAAAGAATGTTTATAATTTCACGAAATTGAGAGTTATATTGTATCTCGGTGAAGATTGGCCAGCTCGCAAAAGAAAACGATTGGAGACGTGGCTCCGTCCCAAGCGCGACCAAAAGCTTCAGGAGGCGGCGGCGGCCGGTGGCGCAGGTATGCATCCCGACTCCCCGGTCCTCCTCCTCTCTCCGGCGGCGGCTCACCCGTCGGCAGCCGCCCCTTTCCCTCCTCCTGCAGCGTTCCTCCTCTCCATCCACCTGGACGGCCGCCGCGCCGCCTTCAAGCTCCCTCGGCAGTCGGATCTCTCTGGCCGGCGTAGGCCTTCCATCTCGCCCATATCCTGCCACGGAAGGCCATCTCCTCCC